CCCCACACACTTCCAAAATTCCACCGGAATCTCGTCAGGCCCGGTCGCTTTGCCCCTACTCATCTTACTCATAGCTCCCCCGACCTCCTCAACCTTGATACGCCTGCAGTACCCAGAGTCAGCATGACTCTCGGAATGCTCCGATTCACCGAGCACAATATCTCGATCCCCTACTTCATTAAGAAGATCCTGAAAGTAAGTCTTCCATCTCCTCTTAATCTAGGAATCTTCCATCAATACTCTCCCACCGTCGTCCTTGATGCATCTCACTCGGTCTAAATCTGGAGCTTTCCTCTCTCTCAACTTGGCCAGCCTAAATAACTTATTATCCTCTCCGTTTTCCCCTAGTTCCTCTTACATACAACTATAAGCCGCAGTCTTAGCCTTCGTTACCGCCATCTTCGCTTCCTTCCTAGCTACCTTATACCTATCCATGCACGCTCGCCTCTCCCCCTCGCCTATGCTCCCCCTTAATGCCCGGTACGCCTCCTTTTTGGCTTCCACTTTACCTTGTACCACTTCATTCCACCACCATTCTCCTTTGTGCCTGCTGGTGACACCCATTGAGATCCCTAGCATCTCTCTCACAGCCTCTCTTATATAGTTTGCTGTCGTTGACCACATAGAGTTCGCGTCACCACTACTCCTCCAAGCTCCCATAACCGTCAACTGCCCTTCCAACTCTTGATCTTTGTCCTTAGTTAAGGCTCCCCACCTGATTCTCGGTCTTCCTCGACCCGACATTTTCCTCCTCTTTACCATAATACCAACGTCCATCACCAAGAGCCTATGTCGCGTCACATGTATCTCACCTGGAATCACCTTGCAATCCTTGCACAAGCCTCTGTCGCGCCTCCTAAGGAGGAGATAGTCAATTTGAGTCTTTGCCACCGCATTTTGAAAAGTAACCAAATGCCCCTCCCTCTTCGGAAAGCAAGAGTTAGCAACCACAAAACGCAAAAGCCTTAGCGAAGTCCAGTAACGAGGTTCCTCCTTCGTTCCTTTCCCCAAAACCAAAGCCTCTATGCACTTCGTCATACACACCTGCGTCCGACCCAATATGGCCATTGAAATCCCCTCCTATGAATAACTTCTCATTAGGTGGTACTTGATGGATAATCTCATCCAACCCCTCCCAAAAGCGTCGTTTAGCCTCCTCATCGAGACCCATATGAGGCGCATAAGCACTAACGACGTTTACGGTGCACTGACCAACCACCAACTTAATACTCATCAATTTATCATTCACTTGTCTAACCTCAACAACATACTCTCTAAGTTCCTTATCCACCAATATATCCACTCCATTCTTACCCTTCTGGGTTCCAGAGTTCCAAAGTTTATACCCATTTGCGTCCTTCGCTCTCGACCCTGCCCACCTTGTCTCCTGGACACACGCTATATTGACCCTTCTCTTCTTAAGGATCTTCGCCAGCTCTATAAATTTTCCTGTCAATGAACCTACGTTCCATGACCCAATTCTCAATCGATGGACACCCTTGTTCCCTTTACCTCCCTTGCATCCCAACCCACCTCCTAGCCCCCGCTCTACCTCCCGACCCACCCCCCGCACGCCCCGAGGACATGAAATCACTTGACCATTTCCTAGAATAAGACAAGATGTCACCACAAGTGCCCTAATACAGTGACTAAACTAATAAGAACTAAAAGGACAACAATTTTACTAACACAATAGAAGGAAATAGGCAAACGGGAGGTACCAATTCCCATGAGTATAACCTAGGAATTGTCTTGGTGGACTAAACTGTATTGCGTCTACCTAGCTCGTTCGCGTCCATCTCTTGTCGTTCCTTGCTGATACTCAGATTGTTCTTCACTGTTTGCATGTGCCCGTCCTCACCGCCCCAAGCCACCGGTCCAACCTGATACTGTCAGGCATGTCCTGTTGTGTCGTGTCGGAAAGCTGTTCGGGAGTCGCCAAGATTTATGAGACCTGCCGAAAATCTGTACCCACCTGAAAATAGCTTGACCTCGCCGGAAAAGAATCTGCACCTCTGGCTTGAAGACAGGTCTGGTTTGTATGTCACCACAACAACGAAATCGGGCCTTAAACCTGACTGTGGTTGTCCCCGCTCGTCGGCTACTGATCCGTGTCTCGCCGGAGTAAGAGGGGAGAAGACAAGACGGGGAAGAAGGAGAGGCGGGGTGAGAGATATAGGCGGAGAGAGAGAGAGGGGTGTTGGATGATGGGGAGGAGAGGGGGTGCGCGTGGACTTACCTGGGCGGGGAATGGTCGCCGGCGACTGAACTAGTCGCTGTTGAGCTCTTATGTTAGCGTTGGCAGTGAGGTTCGGAGAGAGGGGTTCGGAGAGAGAGAGAGAGAGAGAGTTGTAAAGACTTCACCCTTTCATAAATTTAAATAAAAGATATACAAAAATAGTACCTTATTTTTATTTTTATATTATCTTGAAAATACAAAAATAGTTTCATGTTTTAATATAGTTTAGTTCAATTGATTAAGATTAGTTTTATATTTTTATATTATAAATTGTATATTTAGAAGGAGGAATTAGTTTTGGGTTGGTTTATCCCATCTTTATGAATTTTTTAGTTTTTTTAGTCTTTGGCCCAATTTTAAGGCCCAATAATACCAAACCCATACCCCGTTAACCTAAAAACCTTTCTATATAGCCAAAAAATACACAAAAAATACCCTAGACTCTAAGACCTATAGAGACCCCTAAGCAAGATCCGCCGCTAAGGACCAAAAACAACCCGCCCCTGAACATTCTCCTTCTTCGATCAACAAAGATCAAACGTCTAAGACATAAGCAGCTAGAAGGGGAGGGATCAAAAATTTCCAGCAGCTTCTTCACCTCGTCAACCACGACCCTTCAGCCTCTTCTTCTTCGTTTGAACCTGGACACCATCAACAACCATCTCCAAGCAGCACGCCCAAACATGACAACATATCCCATAACATCATTCAAACTTCTTCCAACCTTCGCAGTGCTCAAAACAACATCAAAACACCAAATTTGCATCGGATTCAAGCCTAAGAATTCCAAAAACTTCCAAATTCCGCTTTCGATCAAAAGGTCTACCAAACCACGTCCGAATGACCTGAAATTTTGCACACACATCCCAAATGACACAATAGACATACTGCAACTCCCAGAATTCTATTCCAACCCCTATATCAAAATCTCACCTACCAACCGGAAAACACTAAAATTCCAATTTCGCTAATTCAAGCCTGAATCTACTCCGTACCTCCAAAACACATTCCGATCACACTCCTAAGTCCCTAATCACCTCCCAAAGCTATCCGAACCATCAAAATTTACATCCGAGCCCTTTTTCACATAAGTCAATATCCAGTTAACTTTTCCAACTTAAGCCTCCTCAAAAGAGACTAAGTGTCTCAAACCTTACCAAAATCTCTCTGAACCCAAGCCAAACAACCCGATAATACATAATACAGCTGAACAAGGCAATAAGAAGCAAAAATGGTCAAAACTGAGCGGTAACTCATGAAATGACCCGTCGGGTCGTTACATCCTCCCCCTCTTAAACAAACGTTTGTCCTCTAACGAGTCAAGAAATATACCTGAACCTCAAATAGGTGAGGATATCTGCTCCGCATCTCCCGCTCGGTCTCCTAGGTAGCCTTCTCTACGGGCCGACCTCTCTACTGCACTTTCGTTGAAGCTATATTCTTTGACCGCAACATCCGAACCTGACGCTCAAAGATGGCTACTGGCTCCACATCATAAGTCAAATCATCATCTAACTGAATCGTGCTAAAATCCAAAACATGAGAAGGATCGCCAATATACTTTCGGAGCATAGAAACATGAAATATTGGTTGCACACTCGACAAGCTGGGTGGAAAATCAAGCTCATAAGCCACCTCCCCAATCCTCCGAAGCACCTCAAAATGCCCAATGAACCGAGGACTCAATTTACCCTTCTTCCCAATCTCATAACACCCTTCATGGGTGAAACCTTCAACAGAACCTTCTCACCAACCAGTAGGACACAGCCCGAACCTTCCTGTCAGCATAACGCTTTTGTCTCGACTACGCTGTGCGTAGCCTCTCCTGAATCACTTTCACCTTGTCTAAAGCATCCTGCACCAAGTCTGTACCCAATAGCCTAGCCTCACTTAGCTCAAACAAACCAACCGGAGATCTACCCGCCTCTCATACAAAGCCTCATATGGAGCCATCTAAATACTTGACTGGTAACTGTTGTTGTACGCAAATTCGGCAAGCGGTAGAAACTGATCCCATGACCCTCCAAAATCAATGACACAAGCACGCAACATATCCTTCAATATCTGAATAGTGTGTATGGACTGCCCGTCCGTCTAAGGGTGAAAAGTTGTGCTCAACTCAAATTGAGTACCCAACTCTTGCTGCACATACCTCCAAAACTGCCTAGTAAACTAAGTGCCCCTATCTGAAATGATAGAAATTGGGACACCATGCAAATGAACAATATCCCGGATATATATAACTACCAACCGCTCAGAAGAATAGGTAGTACACACAGGAATGAAGTGTGCGGACTTGGTCAACCAATCCACAATCACCCAAATAGCATCGAACTTCTTCAAAGTCCATGGGAGCCCAACTACAAAGTCCATGGTTATCCGCTCCCACTTCCACTCTGAAATATCCATCTGCTGAAGTAAGCCACCCGGCTTCTGTTGCTTATATTTCACCTGCTGACAATTGAGACACTGAGCTACAAAATTCCACAATGTCCTTTTCATTCTCCTCCACCAATAATGATGTCTCAGATCCTGATACATCTTCGTGGCACCTGGATGAATGGAATATCGCGAGCTATGGGCCTTCTCCAGAATTAACTCCCGAAGCCCATCTACATTGGGCACACATATCCGACCCTACACCCTCAACATCCCATCATTACCAATAGTCACATCTCTGGCATCATTGTGCTGAACTCTGTTCTTTAAGGACAAGCAAATAAGGATTCTCATATTTGCGCTCTCTGATGCGATCATATAAGGAAGACTGAGAAATTACACGAGCCAATACCCGATTAGGCTCCAAAATATCTAACCTCACGAATTGATTGGCCAAGGCCTGAACATCATCTGCAAGAGGTCTCTCCCCAACTGGAATATATGCCAAACTCCCCATACTCACCGCCTTCTTACTCAAGGCATCGGCAACCACGTTGGTCTTCCCCGGATGATACAAAATAGTAATATCATAATCCTTTAGCAACTCCAACCATATCTGCTTCCTCAAATTGAGATACTTCTGCTTGAACAAGTGATGGAGGCTACGATGCTCAGTAAACACCTCACAAGATACACCATAAAAATAATGCCTCCAAATCTTCAACGTGTGAACAATGGCAGCTAACTCCAAATTATGAACAGGGTAGTTCTTCTCATGGGGCTTCAACTGACGATAAGCATAAGAAATAACTCTACCCTCCTGCATCAATACACACAAAATACCAACTCTCAAAGCATCACAATACATGGTATATGAACCTGAAGTTGATGGCAAAACTAACACTAGAGCTGTGGTCAAGGTAGTCTTGAGCTTCTGAAAGCTCTCATCACACTCATCCGACCAAATGAAAGGAGCACCCTTTTGAGTCAACTTGGTCAAGGGCGATGCGATATATGAGAATCCCTGAACAAACAGGCGGTAATAACTCGCCAAACCAAGAGCAACAAATCTCTGTGGCTGAGGACGGTCTGTCCAACTCTAAACCACCTATATCTTTTTCGGATCAACCTGACTACTCTCACTAGACACCAAGTGCCCCAAGAAATCCACTGAACTGAGCCAAAACTCACACTTGGAGAACTTTGCATAAAGCTTCTCCTCCCTCAATCTCTGCAACACAACTCTTAAATGCTCCGCGTGCTCCTCCTGACTATGAGAGTACACCATAATATCCTCTATGAAAACTATGACAAACGAGTCGAGATAGGGCCGAGACATATTTTTCATCAAATGCATGAATGATGTTGGGGCATTGGTCAGCCCAAAAAGACATCACCAAGAACTCATAATGACCATATCGAGTCCTGAAAGTCGTCTTAAGATTATCCGAGTCCTTGATTTTCAACTGGTGATAACCTGAACGGAGATCAATCTTGGAGAACACCCACGCTGCTTGAAGCTGGTCAAACAAATCATCATTACGAGGCAAAGGATACTTATTCTTGATTGTTACTTTGTTCAACTGCCTGTAATCAATGCACATCCTCATAGTGTCATCCTTCTTCTTCACAAATAGAACAGGTGCACCCCAAGACAACACACTAGGCCGAATGAACCCCTTATCAAGGAGTTCTTGAAGCTACTCCTTTAACTCCTTCAGTTCCGTTGGTGCCATACGATATGGTGGAATAGAAATGGGCTGAGTGCCCAACACTAGATCAATACCAAAATCAATATCCCTATCCGGTGGCATGCCCTGCAGGTTTATAGGAAATATATCGGGAAAATCTCTCACAACAGGAACAACATCAATACTAGGAGTCTCTACACCGACATCCCTCACAAAGGCTAAATACGAAAGACAACCTTTCTCAACCATACGTCGGGCCTTCAAGAATGAAATTACCCTACTGGGAACATAATAAGTCAAACCTCGCTACTCAATCTGTGGCACACCCATCATAGCCAATGTCATTGTCTTAGCATGATAGCCCAAAATAGCACGACACAGAGATAGCCAATCCATGCCCAATATAACATCGAAGTCTACCATACATAACAACAACAAATCCACTCGGGTCTCCAGAACCCCAATAGTGACCACACATTACCGGTACACGTGGTTTACAACAACAATATCGCCCACCGGAGTAGATACACGAATAGAT